TCTCAGTGCGTTACTAAGTTGCTATTTAATTCCAAGCAAGTTACTAGCATCTTTCTCCCCAGTTTCTTATTCTTAAAATAATATATTATTTAAACTGCTTTTGGCTTCAAGGAACACAAAACAAGTAAGATGAACTTAAAACATGGAGTCATTTTTTATTTATGTAAAAAGAAGCTTGCGAGTGGGCAGTCCCAATTGATTCAGCTGTTTTAGGTGGTGTCTTCAAGAATATTATTATTGCTATTATTCATTCATCCATTCAATGACATTTATTGAGTGCCTACCGTGCATTTATTCTATTCGTTTATTAATATTAATACTCATTATTAGTAGTAGTATTTATTCTTCTGTGGATACAGAAATAAACTGAACCATTACTGAAAGGTAGGATCTGGGCTTTAAGAACATGCTACTGAATCATATAAAACACTTATCCTTGCTAAATCTACATACTTCATATGTAGACCCCTTTAAATGTGATAACATTTAAGCTGGGGGCCATGATCCAGATCAAGTTTCATTAATGGCTTTTTGAAATGCTTTTTTCTGGTGTAGGTGACAGATCATGCAGATGGTAAACATGTCATTGCCCAATTCCATGAATGGCAGGCTGGAATTGGTCTGGTCCTTTCTCGAGCCCGAAAACTTCCTATTGCCACAATATTTACAACCCACGCCACACTGCTTGGGAGGTATCTCTGTGCAGCAAATATTGATTTCTACAACCATCTCGATAAGGTAAATAGTCCTCCTTCCTCCCTCCTTCCCCACCTTTCTTTCAGATGGCTGAGACTGAAATATGAGAAGTATTGATCTCTATGTGTCATCTGCCAACCAGATGACAGAAATGCCCTTTTAGCTAATCAATATTCATGACAAAGCTTCCCCTGGGGTGACAAACAGTTCATATAGTTTAACTCTATTCAGAGTGCAATAGAGGATAGAGGTGAAAGGCCTGATTTCTGTCCCACTTTAGAGCAATAGATCCAGAGGGGCATAGTAGGACTAAGACACTGTGTGGACACAAGGCTGGGCTGAAGCTTGGGAAATACTGTGAAGACCCTGGATCCACGCACAGCTCTGAGTGGCAGGTAGAAAACAGGGATTCTAGGCATATGAACTTGCACTATGAATTTTACTTCCTCTGTTTTCTGAGTGAACAGTTGATTGCATGCCACATTATAGGTCAATAGGCCAGATTTTCCCTGTAACTCTGCAATGCATAGTGGAGTTTTTGTGGTGTCGAGTAAGGCAGAAGTTATTAAAAACAGTGATGTGGGTTTTTGGTGACCAAACAGTTATGTTTGCTCATTTTAGGAGACTACCAGATTCCATGGCCCCAAATCATTCAGTTTTTTCTTTCTTTCTTTTTACATTAGTTAAGCAGATAAGTAAAAGTATGTCTTTTATATCATCTTGTCAATATTAACAAAGTATTTGAGTGTCATAAATTCAGAGGTTTCGTAGATTTGGTATCTATATTACCAATCAAATTGATTTAGTATTTTAGGGTTCAGTTTCACTATCAGAAAAATTAGGAAGTTGGAAGTGGGAGCTAAAAAAATAAACTAATAAATTAAAATAGAAAGAATGATACAACAATCACAGTAATTTGTTAAACTTTCAAAAGGGAGAACAGAACTGAGGCCACCACAGGTGGGGGGGTGGGTAGTGAGAAATCGGTAAAGGACCACAAAAATGATTACACTGTGCATTGTTGAATATACTAATTATCCTGATTCAAGCATCACATATTGCACACAGGTAATGATATTCAACTCTGTATCCCACAGATATGTACAATCAACTATGTTTCAACAA